CCCTCAACACAGGGAACGCAGGTAGGGGCAGGGACAAGGACACGGGAGGCCATGCCTCGGAGACGAGGCAAGGAGGGGTGACCAAGTCGGTGGTGCCAAAGGAGGGTCTGGTGGGACAGGAGGCGACACGAGCAGGGGGCAGACTCAGGACCTGACCGAGACGCTGCAGCAAACACCTGACTCGACGCAGCTACCTGACCAGACGCAGCAACCGGAGGAGACGCTGTGGTCAGTGTGTACAGGCTCGACCCCGGTCGACGGGTAAACGTGGCCAAGTGGCGGCCCATCTGAGCACACGTGCAGTGGGTCACTCGCTGACCTGCAGGAGTGAACTGGTCAACACCGGCATCCTGAAGGTCAGCACCACTCACCAAGTTCGTGGAGAACGAGGGGAGGTAGAGACCAGACAGTGAGCCAGACGGGGCCGCCGGACACGGGAGGACAGTGGAGTAGCGAGCAAGGACAGGACCCCCAGAGGGGTCTGCGAGGGAGACCGCAACCGGCCGACTGAGCGGCGTAAGGGTGGTGCGGTCTCGAAAGAAGGAGCGGGAAGCACCCGAGTCGAGGGTGAAGGTGTGAAAGACCTAAGCCGACTCGGTACCTGAGAGAGCAGACTCACCAGCACCTAGAGGAGCAGACTCACGAGTACCTGGAGCAGCAGACTCACTAGCACCTAGAGCAGCAGCCTCAATACCAGGGTCAGGCAGAACACACACGTAATAGTCACCCTCAGCACTAATAGACACAGCATACATGGCAGCAAGAATAGCATCAAAGTCAAGATCAAAGATAGCTACCTCCGACCTGAGCAGATCACTCCGACGAGGGATCTCAGTGGCGTCCGGGAACTGGGCACACCAGGCGTCCGTCAGGCGACCGAAGCAGCGCTGGGTGGCGTGCAGGCCGCCACACTGCTCTCCAGTGCGGTCGCCGGTGCGCAGGACGTAGGTACAGGGACCAGTACCTCCAGACCCCTGGCGCCGCGCGTACCACTCACGAAGCTGCTGGGGTGAAGGGGTCTCACGAGAGCGCTGCTGCTGCTGGGGTCCCCGCTGCACTGCTCCGCCTCTGCCAGCTCCACCTCCGCCGCCGCCGCCTCCGCCGCCTCCACCCCTCCCGCCACCGCCACCGCCGCCTCCACCTCCACCGCTGCCTCCAAAGCCCCCACCTCTTCCACCACCCCCACCCCCACCCCCTCCTCCGCCTCCACCGCCACCACCGCCGCCCCCACCACCTCCTCCAGCTCCCTTGCCCCGCTTGCCCTTGCTGATGCGGCGCCTCTCACTAGGAGCAGACGCAGCGCTGACCGACTCGGTGCCAACAAGGTCGACAGCAGCAGCAGAGGCAACAGAGGGCAAAAGAGGAACGGGGGAGCACCCCTCAAAGAAAGGGGTACGGGGGTCACCACGAGAGGCGCCTACAGCGGTAATACTAGTCTCTGCTGCAAGGAGGCGCTCCTCGAGGAGGTCGACAGTGAGGGTGGTAGGGCAAAGAGAGAGGAAGTGGTCCCTGACAGAGCGGAGAGTGTCAGGGAGTCGAGTGACTAGGTAGTAGAGGGTGATGTACATGGGGGGGGGGGTCTGGGCGCAGAACTCAGCAGGAAGTGCAGCGCGGTAGCGAGTGTCACTAGTGCGGAGGTGCGTAATGAGGTCAGTGACTGTGGCAAAGGCAGCGAGGTCAGGGAACAGGTACGGTAGCATGAGGCGGCTGAGCGCAGCAGTGGCAGGGGAAGAGTAGCGTGCAACTACAGCGTCGAACAGAGTCTTAGCACTCTTGTACTGACTAAAGTGCGCGCGCTCAGTAGACGGTAGGTGACTGCGCACAGCAAGGCGGGCAGCAGCATCGCGCGTGAGCCACTGCGAGCGAACGGTACTGTCAGCATCAGCAGCAGGGGCAGTAGAGGCGCCCGACGTAAGGTCAAACAGGGAGAGGCCATCCTTGCTATCGCACTGAAGGAAAAGCTGCAGATCATCTAGCCAGACATCAAAGGCAACCGCTCGACCCTCAGCATCAAAGGTGAGAAGACTAGGACTAGCCATGATAGGAGCAGCAGCAGACTAGCAGCGGCAGTAGTGCAACTGAGCTAGGCAGGACAGTGCGACTCAGCAGGGCGACTCGGCAGCGCAGTGGGGCTCGGCCGCGCGGCTCGGCCCGGCTAGGCTCTTACCAGGGGCGGAGCCGACAGGTTCGGGACTGGTTCGGGGCCGGAACAGGGCCGGGACAGGGTCGGGGCCGAGCAGAGTCCGGGACGGGGCAGCAACGGGGCCGAGACCGGGTCGGGGCCGGGGCAGGTCCGGGACAGGGTCGGGGCCGAGCAGGGTCCGGGACGGAGCAGCAACGGGGCCGGGACAGGGTCGGGGCCGGGGCAGGTCCGAGACGGGGTCGGGGCCGGGGCAGGTCCGGGACAGAGTCGAGGCCGAGGCCTTTTAGGGGCGGCGGAGGGGCCGCGTAGGGGCCGCGTCAGGGACAGGGCCGGGCCGGGCCGTTTTAGGGGCGGCGTAGGGGCCGCGTCAGGGGCGGCGTAGGGGGCCGCGTCAGGGGCGGCGTAGGGGCCGCGTAGGGGCGGCGTAGGGGCCGCGTTAGGGGCGGCGTAGGGGCCGCGTCAGGGGCGGCGTAGGGGCCGCGGCAGGGGCGGCGTAGGGGCCGCGTCAGGGGCGGCGTAGGGGCCGCGTAGGGGCGGCGTAGGGGCCGCGTCAGGGGCGGCGCAGGGGCCGCGTCAGGGGCGGCTTAGGGGCCGCGTCAGGGGCGGCGTAGGGGTCGCGTCAGGGGCGGCGTAGGGGCCGCGTAGGGGCGGCGTAGGGGCCGCGTCAGGGGCGGCGTAGGGGCCGCGTCAGGGGCGGCTTAGGGGCCGCGTCAGGGGCGGATTAGGGGCCGCGCAGGGGGCCACGTAGGGGCCGGGTAGGGGACGCGTAGGGGCCGCGTAGGAATCGCGTAGGGGCAGCTAGGGGGCCGCGAAAAAATTTAGGGCAGGGCGCGACGCGCTTCGGGCAGCTAAAAAAAAATGTTACTTATGGTGGGCCCTTAGGAAGGAACGGTCCCATGTGGGAACCCGCTCTATACCATGTGAAGAATGAAACATGAATGAATGAACTAGGAAAGTGTGAGATACAAATATGAAAGCTGTACCCCTTAGTGTCTACCCCACTACAGCCTACATAGGCTAAGGCATATATATCTGACACTATAGTTACGTGCTGATGTCATCCTAGGGCGCGTAGGGCTTTGCTGACGTCAGCCTATCGGTACTTTACTGTACTACACGAATTTCCTTGAAGTGCTTAAGTCTCGATGTTATCTCATCAAGTTCGACAGCATAGAAGCTCTACACCGTATTTGAAAGTGTTGACATTTTCCCTTTCTCCAGAAAAAAATATATAACTCTAGCCTAATCAGTGTGTGGATGTTATTAATTGCAACTCTACTTGATGCCCGCACTCAATAACAAATATTTATGGTTATCATAATCAGTGAATGTATGGTGTTGCTCTCATCGTGCTTGGTGTATGGAGTGCAATTTATGCTGGGAGTCGCTAGGACAGCACACGGAAAATGCGCAACGGGGACTGGCCAAGCGCGATCATGGCTGAAATTCTCGGCGAGCTGAGGGTAGCTTGGGAGACGTCTTGCATATTCCGAAGGGAAATCGGCCTGCTGCGTCTAATAGTTGCGACCGAGCTGTAAGCGAGAGGTTGTGGGGAGCAAAGTTAGTCATTAGCTCCAAAGCTTAGTCCAAACACTTCTCTCTCCTAAGCTTAGGATCTTCAGAGGGTAACACTTTTCTTCTGTACATCCAGAAGGTTAGCGCGCTGCATTTTGTTTCTGCAGTTGTCAGTTCCCAGAGAGCTTTGTTCACATGCTACGCAAAGTCAACGCCCACGAAGTCCCTAGATGCGGCAAAGGCGGCGAAAGAAGCTGCTCTGAGCACAACGGGTGAGCCGATATTCGAGACTACTAATAAGTCACCTCGAGGCAGTACGTCTTCCCCAAGGCAATGGGAGTGAGGGGTTGGTTGTGATCGAGAGGAGTGAGAGGCGAGATTGAACTTGTGCTACGATGTGATGTTGTGTCCGACTGAGTGAGCACTGGATGATCAAGCATACGGGTGTGTGCTGAAAAGCCGCTCCAGCAGCTATGGTGTGTATTGAGAAGCTGATTCTTTCATTCACTCACTGCCACCCACAATCCGAATCCTACGTCCATTTTCAACCCCGATTCCAATCCCTCATTCCCCCATTTCCCCCTCTCACCCATTCCTCTCTCGACTCGTTCTTGTGAATTCGTAGCACGCAAATGCAGCTCTGGTCCCCTTTTCTCCCATGGTTCAGCCATCCCGCATGCCCGCACTTGTACCTGTGTGCCGGTTTCGTACCGCAGTACCTGCCTACCTTGTCAGTCACAATATCCTTTTTCCACCCCCCCATCCCTCCGCTCCCTTCCCCTTCCCCCACCGTGCCTCCCCTCTTCTCTCCTCCCCTCCACTTCGTATTTGCACCTTCCCCCCGCTCTCACTTACTCCCTGGCGGCTTTCTCTCCTCCTCCTCCTCCTCCTCCTCCTCCTCCTCCTCCTCCTCCTCCTCCTCCTCCTCCTCCTCCTCCTCCTCCTCCTCTTCCACAGCGAGTAGGCACGGGGGGGTGGGGAAGAGCCGATTGAGGGAAAGAGATGGGGGAGAGAGAGGGGAGAAGAGGGAGGCACAACCGTTGGGAGTGTGGAGGCGCACAAGGCGGGGAAGGGCGGAAGGGGATGGGTGGGGGAAGGGAAATTGGAGGGGTGTTGTCTTGTAGATCGGAGGATTCGAAAGAGAGGGAAAGGGGAGAGGAGGGAAGGGGGCGGGGAGGGAAGGGGGGGGGGAAGGGGGAGGGAGGGGAGGAAACCCTAATTGGGTTGTACTCTATACTAAGTACCTCACTGCACCCTAACAGAACTAACAACATATGATTATGTTTTGTCACCTTCCTCAATCATTCCACGTTCCTCCCCTGTGCCTTCCCCCCGTGCGCCCATGCAGATAGGGCTGCGCACGATATGGGAGAAGTGCTACGAGGAGGCGCATGCAGTGATCTACGTGGTGGACGCTGCCTGCCCCGAGAGATTCGACGACGCCCGAGGGGCGCTCGTTGGGTGCCCACCTGCCCTGCTGGGGAATGCTATGCTAAAGAGTTCTGGAGTGCTTGTTGGGTGCTGGCCTGCTGGGGGGTTGTTGGGTGACGACAGGGAGTTGAGTGAGAGCAGGTGGTTGAGTGAGAGGGTGCGCGTGTGTGCTTTGGGGCTCAGGGTAAGGATTGGTACTGCTGCCTACACTCTTGAGGCAACTAGCAGCATCCTCCACTCGCTTTGGGGGGATGTTGATGCTGACGCCCTTACACTTCTCTTACTCTTCACTTATTCCTCTCCATCCCATGTACCTATTAACATGGCACCACAAAGTACGCCCTTTTCTTATCTAATACATGAAATGATTTTCAGCTTAGGGAATCTCGTGGTGGTCCTGTTCTGATAAACCGAAATATTATCGATGCTAAACTGATCCCTCTGTCTTTCTCCCTCTTCCCCTCTCAAGCCTCACCCCACTCTGTCTCCCCCTTGCCTCATCCCTGTGCGTCTCTCGTGTATCCCCAATCCTCCCCTCCAGAGAAGGTGCTGAGACATGAGGACCTGGTTGGCGCTCCAATATTGATCTTTGCCAACAGTGCTTGAGGGGAGGTGTGGGGAGGGAGCGAGGGGTGGGAAAGGTTGGGGAGGAGAGGAGGGAAACAAGGGGGGGGGGGACATCAGGGGAGGAGATTGTGGTTGGGAGAGGGGGGGCGGCTATGATAACAGATGAGTGTATGATGTGTGAGCGAGGTGATGTGGGTGGGGGAAGAGTTGGGGGTGTGGGAAGACCTTAGGGTGTGTTTGGGCAATGCAAGTGGTTGTTACAAAGGGATTGGAAGGGGGTTGGGGAGCCTAAAGAGGAAGAGATCCGAGTGGGTCTTTTTGCGCTGTGAGTTCGCTGTGATGGTACATCTTGTGCAGATGCAGTTTGACAGAATGTTTAGTTGTGTCCTATTGTTGGCGACCATGGTGGGGGTGTTTCTTGACTGCCCTGGCACTACTCAGTGGCTTTGCAGAAAGTAGAACGTATGTGCATGTATGCCTGTATGTGTCTGCTCGTGTGTGTTTGTGTGTGAGAGAGAGGGAGAGTGTTTCTGACAGTGTGTCTGCTTTTACTACCATGTGTGCATGGCAATGTGTGTGCAGCACGGGGGTGAGGGAGGGAGTGACGTGGCTGGTGGAGGCAATGAGGAAGAGCCAACGAGCAGACCTCATCAAGCAAAGGGCCGATGCTGCCGCTGCCTTCTGATATGGGCTCTGTGGGTGAGGGCATCTGAGGTGATCTCGTATAGGGAAGGAGGAAGAGAGGAGAGGCAGCTGGAGGCTTGGAGAAGGAACAGGAGGAGGAGACAGGTGATTGGACTTGATGCGTGTAGCCATTAAAACATACGGTACCGGTAGACTTATTGGTGCGGTGCTGCTCCTGTCAGCTGTTGTGAAGGCAATGAATGTAGGTTTAGTGGTACTAGACATGTGAGCGTGGTTGCATGTGTTAAGAAAAAAGTGGCAGGACATTTGCAGCCAGGGCCTATTTTATCAATGTAATTCACACTGCTATACTGATTATAAGGGTGAAATTTAGGGCCTGCACTGATGTGTTTGGGTATTTTTTTGGCGGATTAGTGATACACTGACAGGGCCAGGCCCTCAGATATCAGCGTAAAACACGCTGATTACGCTGATTTTGTAGCTCAGATTTTCGTTTTCCCTGAAAATTCAGCATATGCTTCAAATTTGCACTGAAATTTCAGTATAACATACCTTGCCACATTGACCATTTTCCGTGTTGCTGTACAAGTAGCACTGACGAATTAGTGTAGTGTCGTGAGTCACACTGAAACGGACTAGACCGAATCGGGGTGGTACGCGTGTGTACAGTCTGTACCTGGCCCGGGATTCACGAGACCCCACTAGGCTGTACCTGGCCCGGGATTCGCGAGACCTCACTCACACACATCGCTGTACAGATCGCGTGCCGTGCCGACGTGTTCTGCATCGCTGGAAGGAGCTCTCACAGCGACAAATTTTGAACGGGAAATTCAACTTTGTATTTCTTTTTTACACTGATGGTTCAGTTTACTTATAACTTTTACAGTGGCAAAATCAGTATAAAGAAAACCATGAACGCTGATTTGGACACCTGGGCGACCGGGGCACGCTGATCCATCAGCATACCCTCAAACCAATCTGAGGGCCTGGACAGGGCTCTTGCTAACTTTTAGGCCCGTCTGACGTTTTCCATAAAAAAATAAAATCGTCTGGCCCTCATATGGAGGATTCCTGGTGGTCTTTGCCTCAGACGGATTTTATAAGTTAGTATGTCGGCTCAGACAGATTTTCGCGAAATCAGACATTTATTTAGTTATATAGTCTTCACACAGACTACACTCTACTCTACTCTATTACTACAGTTAACCATACATTCATATTGAACTAGGATTCACTATCGCTATCATGAGAAGAATATTCCTCGTCGTCCCCGTCTAGCTCTGAATCTGAAGCAATGTGCTCTTTGCCATGGTCTGCCCGTCTCTGCCAGGGGCCCAACTCCTCCTCTAGCCTAACTGCTTCTTCTGCAGCTGCTGCTTCACGAGCAGCAGCCTCTGCTGCTGCTGCTGCTGTTGCTGCCGCCTGCTTCGCGGCCAACATCGCAAGGGTCTTCCTCGTGCGCTTCACAGGCCTTTGCGCATGCACCATCACGACATCCTTGGCTGGGCGTCTCTTCTTCGCACCTCTCCACAGCTCTACAAGGGCGGGCCAGTTAGGTTCGTACTTCAGCATGGAGATGGTCATCAGGTCGCCAAGCTTCGCGTCGTTGAGATTGCCGCGTAGCCAGCTCTTGATGACGTTCTGGCGGGAGAAGCCCCGCTCGCACTCCACGGTGCTCAGGGGCAGCACTGCGACCACCATCCAAAGGCGGACCAGGTTTGGGTAGGCCGTGCACCAATCGGGCGAGCTGAGCATCTGCTTCAGGCCGTCCTGGAAGCTCAGCTCGCGGTGATGGGTCGACATGATCGTGGTGAAACTGCTGATCTCCTTCTGTGCTCTCGTCCAGTTGATTCCTGGTGGCGGGGTGTGAATCAGAAACCAGTTTAATGAGAATACAAGCTGTTTAATGAGAATAAGTACACAAACTCATACAACCAACGAAGCATAACGTGACACAAACATAGAAAATTCAAGCAATGACAACCGAAATCGAAGACGTACCAGGCAGGGTGTCAGGGTCGGACGGTTTCCGCTTAAACAGATTGCGGAGAGCCTCCAGCCACTGCAAAAACCGACGCTGCCGCTTCGAGTGAGATTTCGGGTACCCCCCCTGCGTGAACAGCTTGGCGCCGTCGAGAGAGCCCAGATCCTTCATCCGGCTCTCCAGTCGCTTCAGCAGCTCCTTCACGTACCCCTTCGCCAGTGTGATGCAGTCGTCCAGGCCTGGGCCAGATATCTGACCCTTGATGTTCTGTTCATGGAGGGTGTACTCATGAGTAGTTGGGGCGCCAGTCGAGTCGGTGCCCGTCACCTTCACTTCCCTTTTTTCCGACGAGGCGTGCTTCGACAAGAAGGCGCTCAGCTCGTTGCTCCCATCGCCGAAGTCGTCCGCGTCACTCAGGTAACGGTTGCGAAGGGTGAGCCTAGTGTTGTCCACCATCTGCAGCACGTGTGTCACGTCGACCTGCCACACACACATGAGAGGCAGTGGAAAGGCACGCACGGGTAAATATCTCATTAATACGATTCATTAACACTAAAAACACTTAACAGCAAGAGGCGTAACAGCGTACCTGCCGTCGCTGGAACTTGAGGTTCAGTGCGTTGAGTTCCTTCAACACATCAGCAAAAAAAAACAGCATGAAATGGAATTTCAAACTGGTTACAACGAGGTACGCCTTCGGGTCGTTCTCGTACAACAGAATGACAGCAGCTGGAAGGTTGTCAGCCAGTCGCTGAACCGCCAGACCACGTGAAAGCCACCTGACGCTGTGGATGCCCTGCAACTCCAGGTTTGTTTCACACAGCACCTCCTGCAGCTCTTTGAAGCGTAGGTGGAAGTTGCCCGACCGTCCAAGGAGCTCCGCTAAGGAACGGACGACATGGTCGACGATGTCAAGGTCGGGGTAGGCCTCTGCTGCATCCTTTGCGGCCAAAGCTTCCCTGACATAACACGGAAAAAGCATCAAGTTAGATACATATGCAACGCTTAAAAGGTGAGCATAATATCACAGGGTTACAAACCTGTGCGCGATGCAGTGGAACCCGGCGAGGTGTGGAATCCGTGCACGAAGGCGTTGTGAAGATAGTGTGTAGAGTTAGGAGCCATAGCTAGGTAAGTCCTAGCTAGGCAAGAAACAGTTTAGGCAAAAGAGAGAGGAGTTCACTAGCAGCAATGAGGATACATATAGCAAACCCTAGATGGGTTGTACTCGCTATAGAGCACCCCACATCAGGCTAGAGAATAACATTCTGACACACCCCCATAGCCAAAGTGGGGTGTAATCAGTACAATGAGCAAGCAGGTATAGAGCAGGAGTTCACAAAGGTAAGCAAAGCTAGAGCTAATCACAGCGGGCAAGTGAGGAGGAGGAGGAGCTGTGGAGGTAGAGAAGATGGGAGGCAACGACTGAAGCTGCAGAGGCACGGGCACAGGAGCGGCTGACTCAGAGGCTACCGAAGCAAGGGCGACGGACTACTGGAGTAACTGGCTCGGCGGCTATAGAAGAGCGGCAGGAGCAACGGACCCACTGGCGACTGGTGCAGCAGGCTCACTGGCTACCGAAGCAAGGGCGACGGACTACAGGCGCTGCAAGCGACACGACAGGTACCTCCACACAACCTCCTCCAACTGCCCCACACCCTCGACACACACCCACTGCTCAAACCCTAGCTCCACTCCCACGCACCCCCCTAAAACCCTAAACCCCAGTCTCCCACTCATCCACCCCCCTCAGCGACAGCTGCAGCAGTGGGAGACAAAGGAGGAGGAGGAGAAGGGCACGGCGCGCACAACGGACACCCCCACAACCACCACCCCCACACTCCTCACCCCCAAACCCTAAAACGGGTGGGATGGGGGCAGGAGCGCGGGGGACGGAGAGGGGGGGGAAGGCGCGCGCCTCTAGGGCGCCAGAACGGACGGGTGGGGCGAGGGAAGGGGCGTGGCGCGCGCTGCTCCCCTGGGCGCCGCGACGGACGGGCGGGGGGGACGCGCGCGCGGCTCCCCAGGGCGCCGCGACGGCCTGGCGGGGCGCGCGCGGCCTCCCGAGGGCGCCACGACGAGCTGACGGGGCGCGCGCGGCCTCCCCAGGGCGTCGCGACGACCACGCAGGGCGCCCGCTGGCTCCCCAGTGCGTCGCGACCGACGGGCGGGGCGCTCGCGGGCTCCCGAGGGCGTCGCGACGGACGGACGGGGGGCTCGCGGGCTCCCCAGCGCGCCGCGACGGGCAGGGTGGGGGGCCGCGCGTGCTCCCCAGGGCTCCGCGACGGACGGGCGGGGCGCGTGCTGGCTCCCCCACAGCAGTAAACCGCCGCGCGCCTCGGGGCGCACTGCGGGCAGAAAACCACCGCGCGCCCCGAGCGCGCGGCGGGATGAAAAATAAGAGGCCGCGCACCACGGGGCGCGCGACGCAGCGTAGGGCAGCGGAAGCAGTAGGAGGGCCCACAGGCCAGGAGCGTATGTGCTCTGATTCCATGTGAAGATAGTGTGTAGAGTTAGGAGCCATAGCTAGGTAAGTCCTAGCTAGGCAAGAAACAGTTTAGGCAAAAGAGAGAGGAGTTCACTAGCAGCAATGAGGATACATATAGCAAACCCTAGATGGGTTGTACTCGCTATAGAGCACCCCACTACAGGCTAGAGAATAACATTCTAACAGGCGTGCCACCAGGCCCGTCTGAGAACCGACCATGACGCTTGCACCGTCAGTGCTGATGCCACTGATGCGCTCAAGGTCGAGGCCGGTAGACTCCAGGTGGGTTAGAAGGACTGCCTCCAGGGAACCAGCATCGCACTGCTCAACTGTTAGGTGTGCGAAAAATTCGGTGACTGGAGTGTTGCTGCGGAGGAACGACAAGTAGAATATCAGGTGCTTCCCGCGCCGACGGTCCGTGCTCTCGTCCAATTGAATGCCCAGGTAAGGACTCTCCCGGATGTGCTTCATCTGTTGAGCACGGAGGTAGATGACGAGCGTCTCAACCAACTGCGCAAACCCGTACCTGTAACGACCAGAGAGAAGGTAATTAGTACCGTGGTTTCCAACTAAACGACGCGCAAAAAAAACATAACACTTACTCGCTGTAGTAGGTGCCGGGATCCTTCAGGGGCATGTCGGGCGTGCCCATCTCTGCCATGAACTGGACCAGCGTCACAAACAGCACAATGGGTGAGTCGCTTCTGCAAATAAAAATAACTGTTGCCAGGAGTTTTGTCAAACGATTGGCTTCCCCGTCACCGTTTTCAAGTCGACAATCGACTTGTGAGCAGCATTCTTGCAGTCACGCAACTGTTGGCGGTCCAGTGACGCCTCATGCTTGATGGAATGCTGATGTTTCCGCATCGTCTGTCGTTGAATGTCAAGCCCACCCTCTCCATCGCGGCCGTATTGGTAGCTGGGGTCTCCGTGCACCATGCAGATTGAACACCTCATGCAGGGTTGACCCCATGAAGTCTCCGAGATGATGAGCCACGGGAAGTGCTTGAGCCATTTCTCGTTGGCCTTCTGCTGCCACTGCTCGACGGTCAAGACGCGCGGATACTTGTCGTCGTCGTTGGCGGCGACGGGCTGTGACGGGCCCGGGCGAGGTGTGCTAAAGCGGGGGACGGTTGCTGGCGGGACACCTGCAGTGGGACGGGCAAAGCTCAGAATTCGCTGTTTGTATTTACCGTTCCCTGCTCTGATGCGAGAAACAGAAATCGCCAGTAGAGTTGTGGCCACAGATGCCGAAACGGGTTGCGGCGAAGACTCAGCTTCAGCCGGGTTAGGCTGGGTCGTAGTCTCAGTAGCGTCTGACGTGGATTGCGAGGGGATAAGCGGCTCGTCGTTGCATGATGTGATGACGTTGGGGGAAGGAATTACAGGCGGAGGCGTCTCGACTGCGGCAGTGGTGGTCACAGGAATTGCTGCCGGAGTTTTACGGGATAGGAAATATAACGCAGAAACCTGTGGCTCGTCAGGTACCCCGGGTGGATCACGCCTAGCGCCGTCGGTTGACTCGAGGGCGCCATATAGCATGGTGTGAGGTGGTGTATCACATCACATGAGGCAGTAGCAACACAAGAATTCTAGACGGTACGCGGGAACAAGCTACGGGACGATAGGTATGCTTTGGGCTAGGCGTCAAAGATTGAAAGGCAAAGGCAGGTTGTCAAATAAAGGCTTGGAGAAGAAAGGAAGGGAAGGGACCATCACCTCACGAACCGCGCCGCGCCTCTCTCACGAGGGCTTCACGAAGGTGGGTGCATGCTTTGTTTTGGTGTGCACCGACTGTCCTTGACCTCTGCCAGCGAGGTGGGGTGCAACAGCCTGGCAGCGGCGCCGACAACAGCTACCCAACAGATGCGTGGCAGCAACTGAGTCAGATGCAGTATGCGCTGGCAGGAAGAATCCGAAATTCACCCCCGTTCCCTCACGCAGAAATCATTACGCGTGCCTTCACATGCAACACATCGCTGCTCCTCTGGCCAACTGGGCTATTTTGTCTCTATCAGACGAATCAATACGCGATTTCTGCTTGATCAGACGAATCTATATAAGTTTCCTGAAAAAACATATGATGCTATAGCCTTGGTCTTGGCTCACATATGGCCCATAACCTAAAGTCTGCCGCAGCATATGAACTACACAGTTCGTGCCTGAAACATAGACCAACAGACTAAATTAGTCTGCTAACGAGGGCCCTGTACACTGACACCGTAATCACCCAGACATACCACCCGCCGAAATTGTAGACCCCCCGGGTGGCTTGTGCGGGGTGGGTGTTATAGTTGACCCCGTTTGTACTATACCCCCCCTTTTGGGGTGATTTTTTATAACACCCCCTTTTTTACCCAGAATGCCTTATTTTAGGTGTTAACGAGTATGTGCAATGACGGGGGGACATCGCGACGATCACTTTTTGCACGAAATTACATAGTAATTTCGAAAGTATCTGCTGGGGTCACTTCCGTCCCACTTTTTCACTGTTGCCACGCTGGTAGTTCTTTCGCTATCAAGTGGCCAAAGAGGTGCCACCTCGCAACTTCAAGGAGGAGTCAATGTTGTCGTCAAAACTGACAATCTCGCTTCCAACTGTGATGCTAAACCAACCTTGAAAACACCCAAGCTGCCTATTTATAGAAACCCTTACACTAAAAAAATGTCATACCGTATATATGCACCCGGGTGGTACCGTATGGCCCCGGATATAGGCGCCGTCCGATAAAAGGCGCCGGCGCTTATATCTGGAGCATGGCGCTTATGGCCGAAACTCGATTATAAGCGCCCCCCCTGTAAACCCTTTACTTATTATAAGCGCACATACAGTTTTAATTTGAAATCATGTTTAAAATGGTAACGATATTACTTTCTGCAGCGAGTCTTTTTTCAATTTCGCTTCGTTTGACTCGCGAAGACCTGACTGGCTGCGCGTCCAGTGGCATGATGTGTCTTTGCCTCTGTGTGTTGGCAGAATCTCGCTTGCGCGCGATTCTGCTTTGTGACGCTAAAACATTTCGCCTCAGTTGAAATGGCAAGAATAAAATGTACAATCTGGTGCTCTAAATATATATATTTGTATTTGTCATTATATAAGCGCCGGCGCTTATGCCCAAAACTCATTTAGAAGCGCCTCTCTTAAAAAAATCGATTTTATTATAAGCGCACGTGCGCTACTATCCGGGGCCATACGGTATGTCGCTTTTTCCTATGAGAAGCCCCCCCCCATTTTTTTGCTGTATTTAAAGTAAGACCCTAGGGTGTTATGTCCGGGTGATTACGGGTATGTCAGTGTAACGATTTAGGCCACACTGATGCTCTGGGGTAATATTTCCCTTAGCGAAGATTACCCTGAAGTGAAGAGCGAGAGCCCCCCCCCCCCCACGCCACCCCTTCATGAAACTCGACTAATCGAGACGAAGTTTCCTGGAAATTTCGTCCCGATACACCCAATTTCGTAATGATGCACTACAACGCCAGCACGTGAGTAC